GAGGGAGAGAGGAACTTCTCGAGGAGGAGATGCTCATGTTGACTAACATGTCGATCTTTGTGAACAATGTGGCCAATGCTCTTAGGGAGACTGGACATGCCCATGTTGATGCCAATCTGCACCTTCTTTGTGATGGAGATGTCCTGGCTTCAAAGAGGAGGCACTTATTATTGCCTACACCTTCCTCCCAGCACAACAAGGCCCAAGGCGGGGCTTTGTGAACATGAGTGATGCCCACAGGCCCTTTGGCTTAGGACCTTCCCGGCCAAAAACTACTATGTGTAGTTCCACTACACATGAAGGGCTAGAAGGCCAAGAGGGGGTTGATCAGAGAGATGTATAGTTCCTCCACCCCCTCACCCACTCTCTCTCTTTTGACAACAGGACCTTTTATGCGATCTGCTTGTTCTTTTGACACCGACCTTGATGGTGTAGTTTGCCTAGGGGGTAGCTAACAATAGGCAAGGATTTGGGAACATTTGAGCCCTTGGCTGTTGGGCTCAACTTGGTATTGTAAGAAACTTATTTGTAGCCTATGTTGGCTACTTTTTATTTGATAACTAGTTGCCTATTTTTGTTGTTTATGTCTCTGGTGGTAACTGTGGGATTTAAAGGCCTATGATGCATAAAACAAACTTGAGGTGGCTACCTTATTCTTGTTTTGATGGTTTTGTTGTTGTGCTTTCTTCTTTATTTGCCTATCCTTCCATTCTACACTTATGCTCAGTTGTACTCCACAGCAACAACATCCTCTTGTGATGGCTGATGGCAGTGAGTGCAACTGTTGTTTATTTGCCTCTTTATTTGGTTCTTACAATTCTTGGTAGCCACCAATGACTAAACAAGGAAAATAACAGCTGAGGCTAATTTTTTTATCAAGTTGTCGATGATGTTCACCATCATTCAAACTGAATGGTCGACTGATGCATGTCATTCAGACCACTTACATGTTCTACATTTGGTTGGTTTCAGAGAATGCCTCCCTGCTATGTGGTCTTTGAAGGGAAGAAACCTGGAATTTATTTTACATGGTATGAGTGTGCTAAGCAAGTGCTTAGGGAAGAAGGGCTATCTATCGAAGTACAACAACTATGATGATACTCTTAGAGATTTTAATGCAAGGGTACCTCAAGAACCCTTGTCATTACTAATTCATGCCCCTCATGGGGATGCATCAAAGATCCCATGAACTGGTGACAGGTCAAGGTTCTGAAATCTATCCTCATTCACCTGGGCTGCAAGGCTGTTGCAAAAATATTGTCATCTTGATCTTGTTTATGGTTGTAGTTGGTCTGTCACTCAAGCTGTTCATGTGCCACAGTTGTTGTTTTAATTAGGCCGATGATGACACAATAGGATGACTGCATTAGCTGGCTACATGCTTTCTGTTAACTTGTTGTCCTTCTCGGCTTGCCAAACTGTTAAATGTTGTATTTTGGCCAATGATGACACAATGGATCGATGCATTAGCTGGCTACATATCATTTTGCTGCCTCTTATCTGTTTCTGTGAACTTTTTTGTTTGTTGGCTTCAAAACTTGACTGACCCATGCTTCTGTTCTTCTTTACTGACTTTGATTATCCCATGTAGCCAGTAATGCCATGAATTGTTAAATTAGCATGTCTGAGGCCAACTATTTTATGCTGAAACTTTGATTTGTTGTTGTAACGGTTATGGAAGAGCAACCTCATTCTCCTTTCATTCATGTCCATTTCTATTTGTTGTTATGGGCCTGGCCGACCACAGCCAAATGACAAACACTGTCTCGGTGTGGTAGTTGGTGGCGGTTAGCCTCTCATCCCGGCTGCCTCTTCGATGACAAACACAGCCTCGTCTGAGCCGGGCTCACTGGGTACACAGGCGCAAACAAGAGCTGTTGCACCACTTGGGGCAGGCCTGCCCAGGCCTAGGCCAGTTGGGCTGGCCAGGCCGGCCAGGTACAAGGTCGCAAACACGCCCCTAATTTCTCTGTGGCCATAATTGATGAGATTGACAACCCAAAGTTAATATCCCATGGGAAGTGCCCGTGAGCATCATTTCCGGGCACCATTTCCCTTATAGATAGCAACTACAAACTAACCTCCTGCCAAGAAAACCAAACAACACCAATGTCGTGGCCATTATTTGGACTAAATCTAAGTAAATTTAAAGAATTGCTTAACTGTAAACAAAGGACGGGGCACTCTCCATACCACTGGCGGCCTCGCCGAAGAGAAAGAGAATCTCTCCTAAATTATAAGACGTTTTGACTTTTCTAGATATATTAATTTTATTATATATATAGAGACATAGTGTATATCTCAGTGCATAACAAAAACTACTTATCTAGAAAAGACAAAATGTCTTATATTTATAGAATGGAGTATTGTCAAAGCATATAAATCATTTTGAATAAATAATGGCCTGATTGTTTGATGTTGTAATAACCTCTGCACGGCTTTCAAAGCAGTGGAAATCAAATAAAAAAACTTTCTGAGAAGCATTTTTTTTGAACGAGATTATCTCTGCTTATATTAAAAGCAAGTAACAAGATAATCTCTATTTACATCGAGCTGCTTATATTAAAAGCAAGTAACATACAGACAATCTCTATTTATATCGAGTGTGTTGCTATTGCTCTTATCGCGTCTTGCATATGCCCGGAAATCCGGAATTACTGATATCTTCACCAAGGCTGCCTTCTCTCGGCTACCTGAAATTTCCGTCCATATAAACATAGGTGATCAGAACCACCACACATTTCACACTGTGGGACGTGTTAAACACATTGTATAGTAGGCTATTGGGCTTACGGGATGTCTAGCGCCCGGAAGTCCGGACGCCTCGCGCCTGCTGCCCGCCCCGTATTCGGCTTTCCCGCATAGCACCCGCGCGTCTGCCACTATGTCTCGATTTGACCGTGCACGCTTGTGGGGGCAAATCATCACGCTCGCTGCCATCAGGAGGAGCAGCGACAGGCCACGCCTGGCCACACACTCCTGCTGCCCGCATGCTGCTGCTCACCGGCCGCATCCAGTTGGAATAAGGAGAGAGAGAGAGAGAGAGAGAGAGAGAGAGAGAGAGAGAGAGAGAGAGAGAGAGAGAGCATGGATGCAGCTTCATGCTCCACGCCGCTTTGTGCTCCGCGTCTGCTATCACACCCGCTTGGCTTCCCGCGTGCACGCGTGGACCGCTGCGCCCGAGGGGACCACCTCTGCCTCCGCCCCCTAGGCCTGCTAATGAAACACTTACAACATAAAGCATTTGCTGCAACATATGTCTGAAATAGATAAAACATTTATAACATACACTTGCAACATATGTGTATGTACACTGGAAACATATGCAACATCTAGATAAAACACTTGCAACATACGTTTATGCTGAAACAATTGAAACATACACTTGCAACATACATGTGTAGCCAGTGCAACATATGCAACATCGAGTAAAACACTTGCAACATACGTTTAAAACAGATGAAACATTTGGAACATACACTTGCAACATACGTATATAGTTATTGCAACATATGCAACATCCAGGAAAATATATGCAACATACATATGAAACGCATGAAACATACGGTTGCAACATGTGCCCATTTACTTTTGCACCACAATGGAGGCTCCTCTACACGAGCTCGACGTAGACGCGGAGCTCGAGGTCGCCGACGGTCGACAGGCGAATGGATCGCGGCACGACAGGAGTCTCGAGGCGCGAGCAAGGGTGCACAATGCGAGGCACGAGGCACACGACGCGAGGCACGGGGGCAGGCGCGTCCATCCCGTCCTTTAGCGCGAGGCACGAGGCGCAGGGCGCGCGACACGAGGCCAGGCGCGTCCGTCCCGTCCTTTGGCACGAGGCACGAGGCATGGGGGCGCGCGATGCAAGGCGCGGGGCAGGTGTGCCCGTGCCGTCTAGAAAGGACATATGTCCCGAGGGTATCATTATCGTTGGGCGTTTGGGCCCTAGATGCATGCACTCAAGCTCGTCAATTGACCTTAGTCCAGGTGCATCTTTCCCTAAAAAAAGTTCTGGTGGACCTGCTTGTTGGTTGCGTGCAATCAATGAATCAATCTAATCTAATCTAATCTAATAACCTATACACAACTCCCTCGCTTACACAGCTCAATGATCTTCAGAACATAAGAATCTTCCACTTTCTAGTAAACAGCGACGATACAGGCTTTGCCATGGTCAAGAGCAACCATCAGAACATAGGCTCTGGAGTCTGGACATACATACAGCCTGTTCGGTTGGCTGGTTCATTTCGTTGCTGGTTCGTGAAGAAGTATTCCTGGCTGGTTTGTGTGAGAGAAAAATACTGTTCCGGCTGGAAATTTACGATCGTTTACGACGAGCCACAGCCAAACGAACATGCTGATAATCAGGGCCTAGCGGCAAGCCTGCAAGAACAAGCAAAGTGGGATCACCAAGTCAAGCCCTTTCAGTTTACTTTCACCCTAACCTTCTCAAGTAATTACATAGATAGACTCAATAACCAGTAGAGCTTTTTTAGTAAAAAAAAAAAAGGAAATATGCTTTGATTAGCCATGTTCTGTTAAAAACTGGACTGGTGAACTACATGAGTGGTCTTGCCCTCAAGCTGCATTCAGCTTATTGGAAGCAAGAAGACCAACAATATTATTATGTTAACAAAGAGGGATATGTGTAGAGGCTCATAGCACTTTCATACTAGTTTCCACACAACATCAAACTTCCATAATGACATCATATTACCATAGATAAATTGAATCACGGTGACATCTTATTACCATATATAAATTGAATAAACGCTACTGGAAGAATACAAGGAATAGCAATGGTTATGTGCTAGTCAAGAATCCGTCCATCCCCAATGATGAGTTCACGTGTTTTACAAGTGAGTAAAATCCAATCAGTATGTGTTGCACATGTATACATTTAGTTAGTGAACTGGGACTGAACATAAGATCGTTTTAACTTTAACAGGACAACATTTGTCCAGAGTTTGTTCAAACAAAAAGGAGACTGCGGATTATGGCCAGTAAATTAGAAAGAGCAGGAGCCAGACATAACCACTGCAACAAATCTGCCAGTTACTTGTGAGCAGCTGACTGGAAATCGTCTCATTCACACTATAGGCTGTAGGTGGTTGAAGGCGGATAGGGTGACCGAGACAGGGCCTAGCATGAGGGGACAATTTGCCGAGTAGCTGGAGCGCGTGGCCGAGGCTCAAGCTGTGCGACAAACTGGTACCACATGGCAGGCCAGCAACTCCAGGAGCATCGGCCGTGAGTGGCGCCCACACGGCGGTAGGTGCTAGAATGGTGTGGCTGGCAGCGTACCTTAACAGAACAAACACAGATGAGTGAAGGTAGCGACGTAACTGCGGCACTCCATGGGCCCGTTTGAGGTGAAGTTGCGATTCTGTAGTGCACCACTGCATGGCATATCCATCTTTTGCTGCTTCATCACTCTCACTGGTAACGTACATCAGCTGACCGAGCTGAGAGGCAGGAGGGTGGATTAACTGCACATACAGCAAAGCAACATTACACCATTTAGAAACTTTGTTGGTTTGAAGTTGGTTAGGAACCATAAGATTAAAAGGGTGCCGTGCTTCGGCCTCCCCCAAGTCTATTCTCCGTATCTAAAGTTGGGAGCAATTACTTAAAGAGAAAAACCATGAACAATTTTGTTCTCAGCATTCCCATAAACATGAGATGTCTGTACTCTCTTGAACTGTTACCTATCTGATCCTGTAAGCCTGATCCTCATCAATCTGGATCAGCCAAGGAGACCTCAAACACTCGGTGCTTTAGACCCTCACAGAAAATCTTAAAACAGAAAGAAGAAATTGAGATACAGGCAATTCTAATGAGAGCAATGCAAGTCAGCAAGTGCTGTGCAGGTGGACCAGCAATGCGATGTATAACTCAAATAATCTAGACCGCCACAAATATATGTATACGGCTAAGGGGTATGGATACTTATGCAAGTGTCTTGGGAAAAAAAAACAAAAGGTCTCCTGGCAATATAATTTGTAAGTAATACTAACTAACAGTCTTGAAAATGGTAAGTGCAAATTGCAAGTCACATGAATATAATGGTGGTTAGTTGTCATAGTCATAGCGCTACTCCAGCAGTGCAGTGCAGAGTCTGAACTGAATGCAAGATCCAAAAAAAAGTTTCTTCCATCCACATCTATGATTCCTTCTCTTGTTTACTTGAAATCCATGATTACTTGAAAAAGAAACAAATTGTGGCTATATGGGACTGTACTAGTGTACTATCAAGACATACAAAACACACAAACATGACTAGTTAAGATTGCTATATTATGCAGTCCCATCATATTCCTGTTGTATAGGTTGCATAAACTTTTCTGCAAAGGAGTTCACTGTTTCCTGTATTTCAGAACAGAGTAGTAGCTGACAGCGTTTGGACAGTTACTGCTTCTGATGTTTTGAAGATTAGGGTGATTTCAGTAATTAACCTCTACTATGCCCTAATAATTCTGTTTTCACTAACCTGTTTATCAGTGAAGGCAAATTTACTTACACGGACTTGTTGAGATAGTGTGCTTAATTCAAATTCCGAAACCTTGACTGTGCTTAGCATCGATCCACCACTTGTTTCAGAGAAATATGAAGAAAGCAGGGTGAGCAGAGGGAGGGTTCAGGCAGGGAGACATGAAGCCCAAGCTGAGCAGCTACGGTTTGCTCCATGGTGCCCCTGCACTACCGCTTTTCTTGCTGATGCTCCCACGGTTGTTCCTGAGAGTTTTACTGTTCTTGCTGGCCATCACTTTCATAAGAGGAGACACATAAGTTGACAGGGAGTCAGGGTGTTGTAGACGCTTTCATTGGGAAGCAATACAGCAGGAAGAATAAGAAGGCGCCAGCCTCTAGTGGCTAGTTTTAGGCCATAGTTATCTTTTCCTATAAGTTAGGATCTGGGAGCCAGTTTGTTAGTGAGTTTGTTAGTGTCCAGCCCCATTGGGAGATATAACAAAGGGCCGGCTGATTAGGGGGGTTAAGCAGAAATAGAGTCATCACGTTCAGAGCCTCATAGGGAGGGCGAACCTGCTCTATCGCTGCTGCTATCTCTAGGTTTAGCCATTGTAATCATTCCCAGTTCATCAATAAAGATCAGCCAGATTACTAGCTCTATCATCTGGTATCAGAGACCTCTCGATCCTCTCGCCTGTCATGGGTGACGAACTCAAGACCACTCTGGATGCCATCCTCGCCGATCTCTCCTCCATCAAGAACGAGGTGACGACGATCAAGGGCGACCAGAGCCATCTCAACGTGGCCGTCAACCGACTGCAATCGAACCACCACTCCTCCGGCGGCTCCCACAGTGGCAAGAACACGGAGCATGGCACCCCTCCCCCACCACCCCCACGCGAGCACGGGAAGCACAAGCTCCGGTTCCCGCGCTACGACGGCAGCACCGATCCGGTCACATGGCTTCACAGGCGGAGCAGTTTTTCCGCGCCGATCGCACGGCGGATGACGAGCGCGTGTGGCTCGCCTCCTTCTACATGGAAGGCGCTGCCCAGGACTGGTACTACCGCCTGGAGCAGAACCACGGCGCTCCAACGTGGCCGGATTTCGTCGACAAGATGCAGCGGGCGTTCGGGACGCCGGCGCGCAGCAACCCGCTCGGCGCCCTCATGAAGCTCCGCCGCACAGGGACGGTCGAGGAGTACAAGGCGCAGTTCTTGCCCATGCTCGCGCGCTGCAGGCCGCTTCAGGAGCAGGACCAAATCGACATCTTCACCGGCGGCCTCCGCAATCCGCTACAGACGGACGTCGAGCTCCAACATCCGACCACGCTCGATGACGCCATGGCCCTCGCGCGGGCTTTCGAACGGTGCCTGGAGTTGGACGAGGACGAGGACTCCTCTACGAGCCGCGTCCCCACCCGCACCAACCCGCCGATTCGGCCGCGCGCCTTGCCCGCGACTTCCGCACCGCACACGCCTCCTCCCGCGGCCAAAACTATGCCGCAGACGCCGCCGGCTCCAACCAAAGGCCCACCTCCAGCAGGCCCGCGCTTCAAGCGGCTGACACAGCAAGAGATGGCCCAACGCAGAGCAGAGGGCCTCTGCTTCAACCGCCCGAAAAAAATTCACGGCGACCATGCTCGCATGAAGAAGGGCCTATACCTGATGGAGCTCGATGATGATACACCAGTTGAGGACGCTGCGGTGGAGGAGTCTTCCCCTACCGACGACGTCGAGATCTCCATCCACGCCCTCACCGGCATCAAGACGGCGGACACCATGCACCTGGCCACATCCGTCGCAGGCACATCCATCCGCGCTCTGGTGGACTCGGGATCCACTCACTCCTTCATCGCCGTGGATACTGCACGTCGCCTCGGCCTCCAGCCCGCGCCGCGCCCCGGCCTCACCGTGGGCGTTGCCAACAGGGAACGCGTCCCATCTGCCGGGGTCTGCGCCGCCGTCCCCGTCACCATTGGCACCGAGGAGTTCCACATCGACCTCTTCGTCTTGCCCCTCCCCGACTATGAGCTCGTGTTGGGCTGCCACTGGCTCCGGTCCCTGGTACCCATCCTCTGGGACCTCGCCCGCTGCACCATGGCGGCGCTCGGGCGCCGGATCGCCAGATTCGCCGGATCGCGCGCCACGGCCCCGTGGCCTCGCTCTCCGCGCCGCCGCGCTCGACCTCCTCCTCCAATCGCTCTGGTCGAAGTTCGGCGATATCTTCGACACGCCGCCGTCATCGCTTCCGGGCTTCGTGCTCGTGATCATCGGATTCATCTCCTACCAGGCACGGCCCCGATTGCAGTACGGCCCTACCGCTACCCCCAGCTGCTCAAAGATGAGCTGGAGAGGCAGTGCGCCGACATGCTCCAGCAAGGCATCATCCGCCCAAGCACCTCGGCGTTCTCATCGCCCGTCCTCCTCGTGCGCAAGGACAACTCATGGCGGTTCTGCATTGACTATCGCGCCCTCAATGCAAAAACAGTGCGCGACGTCTTCCCCATTCCCGTCGTCGACGAGCTTCTTGACGAACTCCGCGGTGCCACCTACTTCACCAAGCTCGATCTTCGCAGCGGATATCACCAAGTCCGCATGCACGCCGATGACATCCACAAGACGGCGTTCCGAACTCATCATGGGCATTTTGAGTTCGTGGTAATGGCCTTCGGCTTGACCAATGCCCCGGCGACGTTCCAGTCCCTTATGAACGAGGTTCTCCGCCCCTTCCTTCGCCGCTTTGTGCTCGTGTTCTTTGATGATATTCTCATCTACAGCACGTCGTTCGCTGCACACTTGCAACACATCCGTGCTGTCCTCTCCACACTGCACGCCCACAGCCTGTTCCTGAAGCGCTCCAAGTGCTCATTCGCGGAGCGTCGGGTGGAGTACCTGGGCCACTTCATCTCCGGGCGGCAGGGTGGCCATGGACCCGCCAAGATTGAAGCGGTGCGGTGGCCCATGCCGCGAACCCTCCGCGCGTTGCGTGGCTTCCTCGGCCTCACGGGCTACTACCGCCGTTTCATCCACAACTACGGCGTCATCGCAGCCCCGCTCACGGCCCTCTTGAAGCGGGATGCTTTCCGCTGGAATGACGCCGCCGCCGCCGCCTTCGACATGCTCAAGTCAAGACCGACCGTCCGGTCGTCGCAGCTTCCGACTTCACGGCGCCCTTCGTCACATCGATCGCGACGCCTCGCTCTCGTTTCGGCATTGTCCTCCACCAGAGCGCAGGACCAATCGCGTTCTTCACCCACGCGCCGGGCGCCACAAAGATGCTGTTGGTCGCCACGAAGGCCTTGACTCATCGGATTGGTGAAGGCCGTGCGGCATCGCGGCAGCCGTATGTTTGGGCACGACCATTCACGATCCGCACCACCACTTCGCCTCAAGTTCCCTTGGACCAGCGCCTCTCCACCATTCCACAAAGACACATGGGTCGACAAGCTATTTGGCTATGATTTCAAGGTGGAGTACAAGCCCGCCGCCAAAACGCAGCCATTGCCGATGCCTCACACGCCGCGATGAGGACACCGCAAAGATCGACAACTCGCGTACTCTCCCGGCCGGACTTCGATCTGTTCCACGAGTTTCGAGCGGAGGCCGAGACGCTGCCGGATATCATCGCCAAGCGCCGAAATTGACCAGGCCTTTGCTGGGCGAACTGGACGTCCGTCGATGGCTTCGTCCTGCATCGTGGCCGCATCTTCGTCCCCGACACGTCGGCTCTATGGCCCCAGATCCTGGCCACAGCTCTCGACGCCGGCCATGAAAGCGTCAGAAGAAGACGCCGCACCGCTGCAAGCGCCTCCTTCGACAACCCGCCGACGTCGGCCGTCTTGTCCGCGACTTGCGGCGAGCTGCACCGTCTGCCAACAACAAGACGGAGCATCTCCATCCAAATGCTCGCCGCAGCCGGCGGACGTTCCCCACACCGTCTGGGCCGACATCGCCATGGATTTTGTTGAAGGCTTTCCCAAGGTCGGAGGCAAATCGGTGGTTCTCACGGTGGTTGATCGCTTCTCCAAGTATGCACATTTCATCGCCTCGCCCACCCTACAAAGCCGCCACCTCTTGCCCAGGCGTTCTTCGACCAGATTAATGGGCTCCACGGGCTGCCATGCTCCATCGTCAGCGACAGGGACCCGGTCTTTACCAGCGCCTTCTGGACAGAGCTCTTTCGCCTGTCTGGCGTCACGCTGCGCCTCAGCTCTGCCTTCCACCCCCAAACTGATGGTCAGTCAGAGGTCACCAACCGTATTCTCGGCGTCTACCTTCGCTGCCTCGCCGGCGATCGTCCGCGGAGCTGGCTGCGGTGGCTGCCCTGGGCAGAGTTCTGCTATAATTCATCCTTCCAGACAGCATTGAGGGCAACTCCGTTTGAAGTGGTGTATGGTCGACCACCACCCACCCTTGCTTCGTATCAGCCAGGTCTCTCAAAGGTGGCTGCACTGGACAAGCAGCTGACGGCCAGGGATGAGTTCCTTGCTGCTGTCCGGGAACGTCTCCTCCAAGCCCAGAGTATCATGAAGCAGAGCCATGACTCGGCACACCGGGATGTGTCTTTCAGTGTGGGCGACTGGGTGTGGCTCCGCCTTCACCAGCGCGCTGCGACAGCTATCAGGTCCAGCCAGAATGCCAAGCTCGCGCCCCGCTACTTCGGCCCCTTCCAGGTGCTCGAGCGCATTGGCTCGGTGGCCTACCGCCTCCAGCTCCCTGCTAAGGCACGCATCCACAATGTGTTCCACGTGGTGTTCCTGAAGAAGTTCCATGGCAACACTCCTACAGACATTGTTCCACTACCTACAGTTGTCCATGGCCATGCTGTTCCTGAGCCCAGTCACATTGCCCGCGCTCGCCTCAACCATGGTGTGTGGGAAGTTTTGGTGCAATGGCTCGGTCGAAGTCCAGCTGATTCAACCTGGGAGCTGCTGGAAGATTTCAAGGCCACCTATCCCAAATTCCAGCTCGAGGACGAGCTGTTTCGAAAGGAGGGTGGAAGTGTTGTAGACGCTTTCATTGGGAAGCAATACATCAGGAGGAAGAAGAAGGCGCCAGCCTCTAGTGGCTAGTTTTAGGCCATAGTTATCTTTTCCTATAAGTTAGGATCTGGGAGCCAGTTTGTTAGTGAGTTTGTTAGTGTCCAGCCGGCCATTGGGAGATATAACAAAGGGCCGGCTGATTAGGGGGGTTAAGCAGAAATAGAGTCATCACGTTCAGAGCCTCCCAGGGAGGGCGAACCTGCTCTATCGCTGCTGCTATCTCTAGGTTTAGCCATTGTAATCATTCCCAGTTCATCAATAAAGATCAGCCAGATTACTAGCTCTATCACAGGGACACAAAAGGCACAAGAAAAGGTAAAACTTATCAAGCAACAGATAGAAAAAAATAATCAGTACTCTGCTCTCATTGTTTAGCCCAAGTAATCATCAATTCATTATTGATCCAAAAAGTATTGCTCAGTGGCAAGGGCAGATAATTCAGTTTTAAGATTTTTTTTCCTTATCTTTTATACTGTTGTGGATATCACCAGCTCATTTGCCCAACAAACTGTAAAAAATAATCGATGTTCAATCCGCATGAAGGGTGAGAAGTAGAAAAATATCATTCTGAGCGGTGAGAAAGGAAGTACTCTTGCTTACCAACAGAATTGGGTATCATCAATAATCACAACCCGTGGTTGCAGGGCTTGTCTGTAGCTGGCCAAGTCAAGCAGAGACAGTGGGAAAAATTCAGGACCGATCAACATGGACAGCCTCGAGATGCAATTCATCAAACAAACTGCTCCAGTTCAGATAACCAGGAAGGTTAGAAGTGTTGACACAACAAATGAAGGTCATGATGGGACTTCCAATGCTTGACCTCTCTTTA